TTCATATGAACATTAGCAATGCATCAACACATCCATTACAAGTTTTTAAAATCATAAGCATGCATCATAATCATAACATAAGCTGATAAAATGTTCGACAACAATAATGAAAGTGAAAAACAAGGAAACTTGACACATTTAAAATGCAAACACATAAGCTAAGGAGGCCTCATAGGGTTCATCATGATGAGCAAGTCATTTCAAATTAATAATCCAACATTTCCTTCTGTTATTATGTATCTGAAGAAACATCTTCATCCATATTGCATCTTCCTGGATGTAAACATTTCGAGTAATTAATGCCATCTAGATCTTCCATTGAATTCAGAAACTTCATACATTTGACCAACAAAAATTCAGAGCTCACATTAGAAGATCCAGTTGAGGTGCATAAATTATTCTCTATCATATCAACCATTCTTTTTGAACTCTCTCTTAAATTGAAGTGTAGAGACAATCACATTTGAAATTGTTGTCTTCTTGCACATTGAACTGGTAATTTTCCTTTATTCTTCTCCTCCAAAGGTTTTGTTTCAGTTACTCCAATCTCACATTCTTCCTCAACGTTTGAAGAGATTCTGGCGGAAGGATGTTGCAGAGTTCCCGTTGTAGTTGTCTCACCATAAATACGATAGAGAGATTCGTACATTCAACAACTTTTTTTCGAAATATTATTGCACTTTTATTGACCTATATATAAGTAAATGAATATTATGATTAACAAAAATGGGTGAATAATAAAATATAAATTTTGGATTAAATATAATATGAAATAACTACTTTATATAATTTGACCCATACATCTTGAGATGCAATCACTTGACGTTTGGTTACGTTATAACCAATTCCAATCTCTTTCAATAAGCTAGAAAGTTCTCTCCAATGAGTTCTAAGCTTATTGAACATATTTCTCAGGTGTTCTTGTTTGTATTTTCTTTTTGTAAATGATTCAAGTCCCTGCATAATGCGTGTCCATGCAGCTGGACCGAAAGTTGTTGTTTGCCTATTTACATTAATGACTTCAATCTCCATTAGTTGAATGAAGATTTGTTCATATCTATCTGACCAAACTGCCTCTCCACTTATTTCAATTACATCACTCATATTCATTGTTCTACTTAATACATGACAAAGAAATGTCAAATTTCATTTATATAACATCTTCTACCATCTAGCTTGAATTCTACTAATAACATCCCCATCTATATATTAAACATAAATTACTAAAGAATATAATAATATAGTTGTATCATAAATTAACATTTTAAATGTGTTTAATACATATTTATGCAATAATCTAATAAATCATACATATGACATAAATAACATATAAACTAATATATATTATAAAATATATTGTATCTATTTTATAAAAAATTAACATATACTAAATACACATTAATAAAGAATTAGAATGACATATTTATGTCATAAAATATAACTTTAAATTGTTTTAATATAAGATTATGCCAAATTCGATAATTTATCTGTATGGCATCAATAACATATAAAAATCAATGCATAATATGATACACACTATATTATATTATTTGTATGGAATGTATAAACATGTGTCTAGGTGGTGGTAAGAATTAGCATAAAAGTAAAAACATCACATTTAATGACTTCTTAAAGTAACTCTAGAGCATGTAAGCTGAAGTTAAATCATTAATAATCTTGCTTGTCAATTGTAAAGAAGCTTCAACTTCCCAAAGTGTTCATTTCCCTTGCTTCTAAGCTACATTTTTAAAAGTTTTCAAAGTAAACAAACAAGCCCCAAGTTATATGCTTCTCATATCTTCGTAACTATCCCTCTTACAAATACAATAATATACTCTTCGAATCTAACCAACTCACAAAGCCCAAAAACGTGGCATTTACATACATAGCACCCAACTCCTATATACTTACATCTTTAACACCTAAACATTACTCTTTGCATTAATACCACCCAAATCACTCATGTCACATGAAATATATCACCATTTTTTCTTTTGAAAAGTGAAATGCGCCTTTGCATGCATAGAAAAGGTGTCATATATGTGAAAATTCAAGTTTAGGTATCATATATGTATATACATAAGAATTAAGTGGTATTATGTAAATTACCCAAAAAAATGAGAAGCAAATTTTAAATAAGAAAACTGTTCAGTTTAATAAAATGTTCCTAAGAAACTAGAGGAGATAGATGAAAAAACCCTGCCAAAATAAAAAAGAGTAAAGAAAAAAAATTATATTGAGCTACCATGTCGCAAGAATGCATCCATTCCATCTATTCAGGCTTGAATGAATTTGTTATATCATTTACATAAATGACAAATACATTGCAGCTTGGTTTGCCTTGAGATTCCTGAACTCTTGTTAAAGAGGCAAAAAAGTAGCTTGCCTTCAGGAGACAAGGGTGTTAATAGTTTTATTTCTATTGCTATTTAGTGAAAGACCAGACGGAAGGTGAATCTGAGTCTCTTGAGAAAAGACTTCCAATATTAGCATTTCTAGGAGTCATGTTTTTAGCTCGCTGAGGATCATCCAAAACAGATTGATTTATATGTTGTTTCCTAGGCAAACATTTAATATCCTAATGAGTCAGATATTGGATGTTCAAAGTTACTGGTTGACAAATCTTCCTAGAAAATCATTATAGAAGGCAAGTCCCTCCCCAATGTTTCAACTACTTACTGAAAATAATAGAGGTATTATTGATCCCGATACCTCTAGGAGAGTAAAAAATCTTATAAGGTTCCATAGACTGCAATTTTTTTCCAATTTTGGAACCATTGGTGGAGCACAAAAACATAGGTATGTTAGGAAGATGAGAAAGTTCAATTACACCTCTAACAACGACAACAACAAAATATGGTTCCTATATAAGGAGAATGGACTGCTCATGTTTTGCTAGATTACCCTCAATTTATACATATGAATTTGGAGATATAGGATTCTGCTTGTTTTGTTACATTTATGTATGCAGGTTGAACATGGGATTAAAGGATTGGGAGAAAATGAAAAACATTAGTTCCGTGACTATGGAGGTTTGGATGATTAGGGATGATTTCAGTTTGATTACATGCCAAAATGTATAGGAAGGTGGCAGAAAAGCTAACTAAGCTGTAATCCCGAAGGTGAAGGGCACGGTGTCAGCGAGCAACGGCCGAAGGAGAAGGGTGCGGCGTTGGCGAGCGTGGCGTCCGTGACCTAACGCGAGAGTTTCGAGCAAGAGGGAGAGCCACAATTGCGAGAGAGAAGGGGGCATCACGAGGGAGACATGATAGGCTAGGAGTGACTGTTCCCATTCTTTTAAAACAACATAAAACACGTTTTTGCTGTTTTAGAAATTAAAAAATATTAGTGTTTAAACAGAAAAGAAAAAAATAGAAATAAAATTAAAAATACATAACCAAACACTATTTCTTTGTTTGTTTCTTATTTTTTGTTTTTAGAAACAAAAAACAAGAAACAATAATTGATTCCAAATAGCCCCCAATATATTAAGAAAATTATAAGATCAGTACGTGCCATTATACCAGACAGTCGAGATACTATTTCAAACCCCTTCAGGCCAGAAACCCTACGCTATCGGATTTCCGAACTATATACAGATTAACATTATCTTTTAATCATTAAAATTATTTCGTTAGATTATTATTATTAAATTCTACAAAAGAAAATCAAGATAGAAATATTACATTGTAATGCATAAAGGAGAAATTAATTCACATTTTTACTGAACAATTATGATTTTCTAACATTTTTTAAATAATAATTTTTAAATAAAAAAATGCGGGTAGAATCTGGACATAATACAAATAATTTTAGAAAAAAATAGATAATATTTACACTTACAATGAGAGAAAACAATGAAGAATATTGGTCAAGATAAAAAATGACAAGCAAAATAACATTAGAAAAATATATTTTGAGAGAAAATTGACATTAATGAAAAGAAGATGAAAGGAGATAGAGAGAAATATTTATGTGAAGAAGCAAAAATGTGTGGAGGGAAGGATGAGTGTGAAGTGGGTAGAAGGAGATCAGAGGTATTTATATGAATTTTAGAGAGAGTAAAACACTTTGGATGGAGCTGTTTTTCACAAGAATTGCCTTTAAGGCGGCGTTTTTTCCCATGATTCTGGTCTCACATACTCTCCATGAGGAAAATGTGGAGGGGTTTTTTGGAAAAAATACCCCCATTTAGGGCGTTTTATTAAATATCCCCTTACGCTAAAACTCCATCTCAAAATTTTTTTTGGGCGCTCCATCTATGAAAATACAAAATTTATGTGCTCCTTTTTTATCATTTGGCCCTTTTTTAATATCAAATCGGGTCTGTTAAAGGTATCCATGAATTGTTATATTTGTATGTATAAAAATAATTTTACAATCATATATGACACCATTTTAATTTATTAAAGCTTCATAGATTATCATTTTTTATTACATTTTATTTTTGTGCATGTTTAAACCATGCTGATGAATATTTTCTATATTATTTTCAAAAAATTTTAGTGTCTCATTTTGCATGTATTTTAGATCAAAGTTTATTTTGATTTCATCATGCAAATGATTTTTCTTACCTTTTCTCTGAGAAGATGCCTTTTCTCTTTTCCTTTTATTTTTGAATAAATATCTAAGATCCTTATAGTTTTTAAACTTCTAGGAATTTGTTTCGTGCTGTTAATTTTTTATTGCTTTGAATTGATGTGCTCTGTTTTGGAGCACTGGTCCAATGGCATATTAATGGTTGCACCATTGGAGATCGTTGGTCGGTAATTTGCCGCTATTTTTCCATTGTTACTTGAAAATTCATGATTTCTTCTATTTTGTTATGCATACAAAGATATACGGCTGATAAAAATATGCAATTTTGGTTCCAAGCGGCCTTATAAAAAGCTTGGGTTGGGCTTTATTCCTCACTCTTCATTTGGCACTATTAAGTGTTGCATGAAATGTTAGATGCTTTATTTTTCCATTCTAGTTATATAACATAAAATTGCGCTCAGGTGTCTGGGAGGGCTGAGTATACCGACGATACCGCTTCACCCCCAAATACTCTTCATGCTGCTTTAGTGCTGAGCAAAAAGGCTCATGCACGCATAGTGTCCATTGATGATACACTCGCTAGATCATCACCTGGTTTTGCAGGGTTGTTCTTAGCAAAAGATATTCCTGGTAGCAATAAAATTGGCCCCGTTGTCCACGATGAAGAAGTGTTTGCTTCAGAAACTGTTACTTGTGTCGGCCAGGTAAATTTGCAATCCTGTTTTGATAATGTAAGTTTTTTTGTGATGCTTCTGTACTATTCTTGTACATAATGCTTCCAGGTTATTGGAATTGTTGTGGCCAATACACAAGGAAATGCTAAAGCTGCGTCGAAAAAAGTAGTGATCGAGTACGAGGAATTGCCTCCAATTCTCTCTATTAGGGATGCTATTAAACATGAAAGTTTCTTTCCAAACAGCAAGAAGTGTCTGATAAGAGGAGATGTTGAATGGTGCTTCCAATCAAAACAATGTGACAAAGTCATAGAAGGGGAAGTTCAAGTAGGAGGACAGGAACATTTTTATTTGGAGCCGCACTGCAGTCTGATTTGGCCTGTTGATGGCGGAAATGAAGTTCATATGATTTCTTCCACTCAAGTAGGTAGAACATACTTGGGCAGAATGTTCTCTAGCGGCGCTTTTAATCATCTGTTGATAATTTTGCGCAGTTAATTTTAAATTATTATTAAGTATTTAAATTTAGGGGTCAAAATTTTCAGTATATTATATGCTCTTAAAGATTTTAATAAAAATATAGAGGTGTTGAGCGCCGCCCCCGGCCATCCCTGATTTTACATCTGATTCTGCATTTGGTAGGCCAGTAAGTTAATTTTTAATCAGGGAGGCATACAAAAGGTGTACCAATGCATGAGCTCCGATTAATACAGAGTTTTTTGTGTAAGGTTGCTTTTTCTTCTTCTTCTTCTTTTTTTATATTTTTATTTTGGGTGTATTGGCAGAAATACTATTTAAAACTTAAGTTCTTCTGATCACACTAGAAACTTTGTTTGTCAATTTTCTTCTGGTAAACTCTGTTGCTATAGGGTTTATTTCCAAGTTGTAAAGTTTTATGGCTTTAGAGTGTTATGGTTTCTTTTATTCTATCATGGGTGGGTAAAATATGACCTTCCATTATAAACTTTGCATTTTTCTTCGTTGTATAAACTGGAGTCACTAAATGATGCAGGCATCTGCTTCATAACGTTTGTATACTTGCATTAGTCATTTATAAATGTATGTCGCAGTATCTTTAACGATGTATACATCTTTTATCTAACCATAATTCCATTTTTAGAAAAAATTTGTAATGATTCTTTTCTCGTCCTTCAGGCTCCTCAAAAGCACCTGGCCACCGTTGCTCGTGTTCTCGGTCTTCCATTTTCAAAAGTTGTTTGCAAGACGAAACGCATTGGTGGCGGGTTTGGAGGGAAGGAAACAAGATCTGCATTCATCGCTGCTGCAGCTTGTGTACCCTCTTATCTTTTAAACAGGCCTGTTAAAATTACATTGGACCGGGATGTCGACATGATGATTACTGGTCAACGACATAGCTTTCTTGGAAAGTATAAGGTACTGATAGCTTCATATTCTGAATGTTCTCCGGTACTTATGTTACAGAAATTTACATACACACCACATATCTAACATCCAAAGTTTGATATTAATACTTATAATAGTTTAGTGTCCTAAATCTATGAATGAAAAGGTGTAGTTTAATTTTAAACTATGTAACACCGATACTTCTAAAAATGTGCTGTACCTGTGTCAAACACGTATCGGACATTGATACTTGTCATACACACCCTGACACTACAAAATATTTGTCTGGATTTTTTTCAAGCCCGAACATGTTGATGTCACACCTCAACACCGCATTGGACATGACTACAACACGATTTCGAGAAAATGAGACACAAGAATTAGAAAATTATAGTATGTACATCCTTAATTATACCTTATAGTCGAAATCGCCCCATCTCTCGTAATGTTGAAATTCTCTCTAACATCACCAAAATTGAGCATTGAAGGTGCATTAATTTTCGTCGAAGCCGAGCATTAGTAATTCCCGCTTTGTAATCATAGGATTTTTTAAATTTTAGTTGATAAATTGTTTTATAAGTTGGATAAAATTTTTTTGAAACATATTATATCAAATTTTAAAAATCAATTTTCATAAGCATGTTGTTTTATAATATAAATTAAATTTATGATGTTTTTAATGAAGAATAATGGAAAAATATATATTTTATATTAATAATTAATTAAATATAAAACCGTGTCCATGTCGCTTCGTGTTCTATTTTTTTCAATCATGTCTTGTCCCTGTATTGTGTTATGTCGTATCCGTGTTCTTGCTTTATAGCTTTTAAAAAGATAGCGATCGTGGTATTTTTGATGTGATGTTAAAGATTTGAGTGATATACATATAAATATGAATGTTTAGGTGTAAGATATGTAAATACATAATAATTATGCGGTATGTATGTAAATGCCCCTTCATGTTATTCTAATTCTCTAGACATAAAGTTCTATGCTAAAAATGATTAGGCTGCGCTGAACTTAAGTAGAGTTTCATGATATTAGTGATCTTTTTTGCTTGAATCGGTCTTTCAGTTTCACTATAATAACAAACATTTATATTTTTCAACAGTTATCATTGCAGAATTTGAATCTTACACATTTCTAAAATTTATCAAACATATTGCTTTATAGATGCTCAAACCTTGCTGACCATACATGAAACCATTGAATAGCGAAGCTCGTATTTCTCTTAAATTTCAGAGGCTGTGAAAGTTTATTCTCAGTGATATCATGTGTGAAGAAAGAGACAAGAATTCATGCATATTCTAAATCTATAGTTTTCCATGTTTGTAGCTTTGAATTAAATAAATTAAAAACCAAGATAAGTTGAATGTTTAATATTCGTGACTTATGTAAACTCGTTGTTATTCAACTTTAATAACGGCTACCAGCATTTATGACTAAATTAACTTCAAATATTCATCATATTTGGAAAACTCCACTTGGCGTGCTATAATAATCATAATATGTTTCAATCTATACCCCTCACTTTTATTTATAGGTGTAGTTTTTCTTCATTTAAACGAGTTTTTTTATTAAATAAAGCGCAGGTTGGCTTCACAAATTCTGGGAAGATTCTTGCATTAGACCTTGAGCTCTATAACAATGCTGGAAATTCGCTTGACCTATCAGCTGCGGTCCTCGAGCGTGCTATGTTCCACTCAGACAATGTATATGCCATACCTCATATGAGGGTTACAGGGCAGGTTTGTTATACCAATTTTCCAAGTAATACAGCTTTCCGTGGCTTTGGCGGGCCACAAGGTATGATAATTGCGGAGAATTGGATTCAACGTGTTGCCATGGAGCTTCAAAGATGTCCTGAAGAGATAAGGGTATGGTGCATTTATTTTCATGTCATTATTCTTTTAATTAAATGGTTGTTGCTATTGTTTTAAAAATTGGAATGGACTGGCCAGTTTGACCGGTTCCACCTTAAAACTGTTTGGTTCAAGCTCAAATTCATTTTTGCGCATAATTGAGATTTGTCGGCGATAAAAAGTTGGGGTAGTTGTGAGTCGCTCGTAGGAAGCTGTCGTCGTCAGAATCGAAGAAAATACGTTTTAATTTACATATAGTTTTAAGTGTAGAAAAATATGAAATCAAACATACCTCATAATTTTCACAGTTTAAATGAAAGAGCACTCTACCTCAAACCCTGTATCTATTCCGAGGGATAAACACAAGACTTGAGGATGAGACTCGATCAAATAAACTAAGAAATATATGACGTCCGTTTGGTCTATGAAACCGTTTTATTTGCCGACAAATTCCTCTATTTAATATGAAAAATTAAATAGGGTTTATTTTAAACTGGGTTTGGAAAAACTTCCTATAAGAGCAAGCTCCTATAGTTAATTACATCTTAAATGACCGAAGTCACTTAAGAATACTCTCGATGAAAATCAGGAAAAATTATCTTCAAGAACTTTAAAAAGATGAAACTTTTCAACAAAATCGGACAAAGATGTGTGAAAGGGGAATGACTAAAATTTGGAACATTTATTACATAATCCAAAAAAAGAACTAGGGGATGCCACAGATCCAGAGGAGATCCTTGGTGACTTCCTACTCTACCCTATGGTTTGGCTTCAGTTTCGAGGAGAAATATTCAAGTGTTTTATCCTGTCAATTTTATCTATTTAGGGCTTACATTCATGTGAAACGATCACACAAATAGCCTAGAAGATGTGAGGATTTAGGTCGTAACGAACGACAACCTCAGAATTCTAAAACGAGTTAGGACTTAGATCGTACACAAGAGCTTATACAAATGCCTAAAGAAAATGTTGATGATTTATGTTGCGCTAGGCGAACAACCTCGAAATCCTATATATTGTTGTTTTAATTTCTAGGAAAAGAATGATTTAGCTGGGGAAGACATGTTCTGCTGTTGAAGATGGTCGTGCTGCCCACCGCGCTAGTTCCAAGCTCCTTGTCGTGACGAGTTTAAGTTTTCTAGGGTGTCAGGTTATAATGTCAAATCCAACGGCCCTATGGTTGTAGTTCTTCAGATATTTTATAGGGAACAGGTTGAAGTTGTATATTGTATAGCATAACAGTAGAATATGTAACACAAGACAAGCGGTAGCGTATGCAATAAAGAAAACAGTACAAGATGCGGTGTAACGAAAAGTAAAATGTACAACAGAAAAGTGATTATAAGAGAATAACATGTTGTAAACATAAAATAAATCTGTATACCGGAGAGATTCGCTGTTGATTTGTATACCTGGGAGATTCGCTGTTCCTTAGGTGTAATTGATGCAACAGGTACAAACAACAAAACTTGAGGAAACAAACTGAAATGTTTTATATGAACGAAAACAAAGAAATTTCACCCAGAAAACTCGGGAAAGAACGGTTAAAACCCGTATGAGGAAATCGACAAGCGATAAATCGATGAAAATTGATGAAAATCGTAGAAACCATGAGAAAATCCCGAAAGAGGACCATGAGTGCTTTGTCCAAAGGTTTCGATAAAACATATATAAAAGTCCGAAAAGAGGGGACTGCAAGCACTCGGATAGGGCTAGGCTCAACTATATATTATTACTCGAGGGTCGTCGAGGGCTACTCGGTTACCCGGATGTATAAAGCCCGCCACTCAACTAGAAGGGTGTCCTATCGAACCTAACTCAGGAGGGTACTCCTTAGCCTAAACAGGTGATCAACAGGTGGACAATCGATGTTTAAAATGTATTTGAAATTTATATTTTCAGCATGCACATATGTTTCAAGCATGCAAAAGGTGGGCTGTATCAATTTTGTTTGTAGCGAAAAATGTATTTTTGTTTTAGAAAAAGAAGTGTATCTGTTCTTATTAAATTTGTTTTTATCAATTTTGAAAAGTAGTTGTCCACGAGTCGATCGCGCTGTCGGACATAAGACTACCAACAACCTAAGAAGGTTCGGGTTAACTCCCGCTAGTATTGTGTCGGGGAATGATATTGTCATCCTACAGCTCACCGGGTTTCTGAATTGGATCCTGATGGGTTCCTGAATCGGATCCCGATGTCGTAGGATGACATATCATTCAGCTCTATCTCCGGCGGCGTGTCTTTGTCATCATCGCCTTAACCCCCAACATAAAACTGACTTAATTGCAACATTGCTTGATGGTTTCACGTATGACAAAAGGTTATACGTGAATACTTATGTATCAAGCAAAAGACTATACGTTGACACTTATGTATCGGACAAGCATCAAAAAATCGAACCAAGAAGCAAGGAAAAAAGGAACAAAAGTGGGGTGAGAGAGAGAAGACACCGATTCACCTAAAACACCGAAAAGACGGAGGATGAATCGACTTTCAAAACTCGTAACGAAAAGACCTGAGAAGGTAGGGCCCAAGGTCCTTGAATCAATTCAGAAGGATTTCATTTTCTCGCTCTATTAGAATTGGATCAACCCAAGGAGGGTGTCATTTCCAAATCCTGTTTCGAACGAGTCGAAACGGGCCTGAACCGACACGACGATCACCCACAAATGATCTCCCCTACATCGGTGTCAATCCTCCAAAAATATCTTCCATGAGCTCAATTTAATTCAACTAAATGTTCTCCCAAATAGGACTTGAAAATCCTCCAAATTCCATGAATTGAACAAAAGGAAAGTGACCCGGGGAAGACTACCATTAACACCTCCAAACTTATGCCAAAATTAAGATTTTTCAACTCCCAAATTACTCAATAGCTTCATATATCAAATAAACATAGAAACTTCCAATAAAGCCACATAAATGCTCACGGTCGGGGTCAATAGAAAAGGGGACAGCCACCAAGGCTCTCGGCCAAGACGATAAACAGGGTCCAGAAAGTAAAGGGTCACGGGTAAGGCCAACAAAAGCATAGCCGAACTCCAAACTAGCTTACAGACAAACAAAACTCCATACAGGAAGGTCACGACCACAGATGGCAAGGAGGAGCCCAACACAACACAAACCAACGGGTGGAGGACAAGGAAGCAGCAAACCTCCACCTTTTAATCTCACGGTTAGAGGGTAAAAGGAACGCCAACCCAAGCATTGTCAAAGTATTTTTGATATGCATACATAAGAGAGTGAATGGACAAGCTTTCATAAATCATCCCAAACCGGCTCTAATTTCCTCAAGCAAGACTCAAGAAATATGCTCAATTCATTTTGAATCACCTCACTCAATAGATAATGCATATAGATGTATTTTTGGATGACAAACTTGATTCATCAATAAAATTCGAGTCATTCAAGCCCAACAAGAAGGACCAAATCAAATTGAGCACCCTCAATAGGTCTCACGGGTAGGAGTAGGAAACCACCCGACAACTCTCGAATAAGGACGACACAAACCACAAACCAGGCCTTACCCGACACCCCTTGAATAAGGACGACACAAACCACAAACCAGGCCTTCGGGTAAGGGCTTAAAAATGAGTCAAACTGAGCTCCTCAACTAAGGCCAAAAACCACAGTCAACAAATGGCCGAAACCGAGTCCAACACAAGCCAAAACCGAGCCCAGCAGGGGCCAAAGCCAATCCAAATGACCTACCAACAAGCTCACAGGTAGGACTAAGAACAAACCAAATCAAGCCTCCAAGCAACTTACTTCTCTGTTGGGAGCAGAACAAGACAAAACCGAGCCCCAAATAGGGGTTAAAGCGAATGAAACTGAACCCTCCCACAGCTCTTGAGCAGGGGCAGGAAAAAACACCCAAAACAGGCTCTCGGGTAGGAGCTAAGGCAAGCAAACCGAACTCCCAACCAGGGCCAGAGGACAAACTTTCGAGGCTACTAAATGGAACTCAAATCATTAGGACAAAGCCTCAATCAAGACTAAAGCCAAAAGCCTCAATGAAATCAATATCTTGTGCCTGAAAAGTGCAAACCGAGTACCAACAAGAACCAAACCGAGCCGCAACTAAGGCTAAAAAAACCAGGCCACAACGAAGGCTAGAAAATATCTTCGCGCCCTCAAAACATCAAAATATAGGGTCACCACATGTTTCAAATAAAAAACAACTATAAAACTTCTCCAAATCAAGATAAATTTCTTCACTGTACGCGCTTTTAAGCCAAAAATGATCATAAAATGCCAAAACCGAGCCCTTAGCAGGGATTAAAGCAAATAAAACCGCACCCTCCCACAACTCTTGAGCAGAGGCAGAAACAAACACCAAAAACAAGCTCTCAGATAGGAGCTAAGACCAGCAAACCGAATCCCCAAACAAAGCCAAACCGGACCCTTCAAGGCCCAAAAGTAAAGTTCGAGCAATTAGGGCAATGCTTCAACAAAAACCAAAAGCCTAGTCTCAACAAAAATTAAAACTCCAGCCACCTTAAGGTAAAACCGAGCCATCCAAAGCCAAGGAACAACCCATGGAGCCAATATACATCCTAAATAAGATCAACAACATAGAGAGCATATTTGGGCCACCAACCTAACTATTCCAAGCATGAAACAATTTCCAACAGATATTTGAGCAGGGAAGATGCCTCACGAGGAGCTAAACCAAGCCCTCAAAACAAATTACAGAGCTTTCCAAATTAAATAAATTTTCTCATAGCATGCATTTCAAGTAAGGGAAAGCCACAAGAGCTAAACCGAGCCATATACATGTATAAAAAGTAAAGCGAACTCTCTAGCATTCATTTTAAGCAAGAGTGATAGTAACAAAAAGCTTTCCAGTGCATTCCAACATGTATTCCAGAGAAGCAAATCTCATTTCAAGGCTACATCCATAATACTTCCAAATATTTCAAGCAGAAAAGGGGAAAGCAACTAATAACGTGCTCTGCTTTTATCGATTCAAACAAATAACCATAACTGGCCCCTAGAACATGCTCACATTTCCATTTCTAGATGCTTGAGTAACAAATATTTCAAAAATATAGGTGCAATATCACCCTAGCATGCTATACCATCCACAGCACCAAGCTCAAGGGCTCGGCAGAGGGAAAACCGAAAAGAAGCAAGACACAGGAGGGAGGAGGGGGGAAGAAGGTACCTCTTTGCAGCAAAAAACAACACAGAAATTTTAAAAAACACTCCTCAACTTCAATCCTTCCTCCAACAGTAAGAGGAAGCCAACCCAATTACAAAGAAGCTAAAGAAGCAAGTGAGAAAAAAAAATAGCAGAGTTTTCCCTCCCTTTCGGAGATTTTTTTTGCCCGCTAAAACGCTCTAAGTAGAGCTTAATAAAGACGGGAGAAGGAGAAGGAGCGATCGAAAGATCGTATACGGTTCGAGGAATCGAACGGAGCAGACGCTCCATGCGGGCGTCTCGAGAAACAGAGGGAAAGATCCTC